TCCCCCCCCCCCCCCCATAGTCTTGCTCCTGCTCTTTTAAGACCAGAGATGATTTTGCCTGTTAATAGGTTAAACTTTCACTTGCTGCGTCCCTAATGGGTTGTTTTTTGGGTTTTGTTTGTTGTTTGCTTTTTTTTTAAAGCGACCTGCTTTTAATTTCGTGTCAAGAATGAGTCACGCCGCCTCCTGCTAGGAGGGGAGAAGGGGGCTGTTTCACTTGCGGGCATTTGTTTTTAGGCTGTGGACATCCAGCTGCTGGGTTATTGGGTCTTTTTACCCGCCGGGTCCCATGTCCTGAAACGTCTGGAGATAGCAAAAAGTCAATGAGCACCTGTGTTTTAGAGACCTATGTGCAGTGAGAGGCTACAAAGTAAAGGGCTTCCCAGTTTTCTGACTCTTGAAGTGACCTATTTGCACCATGTATATTTAGGGAATTAATGGTTTGCGAGTGTTTTTTAAATACAGTTTCTGAAATTCAAGCAGTTTTGAATGGCAGTAATTAGTTCTTCTCTGAAGTTTTCACATGGGTGGTGTTGATGTTGGCTCCAGTGATTCATTTCTTAGTGGTAGGTTGCTATGCCTAGGTCCAAGTTTGAAGTGGCCCAGACACAGATTGAAGGCGAGCGCAGTGCTGCGGGCAGTCGGTCTGGATTGCAGATCGTCTGCTGCTGTGAACGGTTATGGCTTCGCTGACTTCTCAAAGAGTTGGTGACACTACCGCTGAAAACGGGCGTTGCCTTTGCACCGCGGTAAAAATTTGTGGCAGCGCACAGCCTGAGCAACCAGATGCCCATGCCCCTTGTCACTCCATAAATGCCCAAAATTGTGGCTGTGATAATGGGTAGTATAAATTTGCAGAGGATGTCTGCCTGCTTTCTGGCAGGAGAATGTGGGCATCTTGGAGCTGTCTGTGCTCTCCAGCTGCCTGGGGCTGGCTCACCCAGCGCTTCAGGGGTTCAATCCTGCGTGCCCCAGAAACACCCCTGCAGGGGAATGCCCAAGGCATGCAGGATCAGGCTCCACAAGTGCTGGGAGTGAAAGCCTGGCGTGGATGCCTTACAAAAATGTGCCCTAGGAATCCCCACGCAGGGGGTCCCCAGGGTACATATCCCACTACTGTGTCATGACTCGCAGTGCACCTGTTCAACTCGGGGAACCCTGGACAGGTGCTCACAGGTCTTCAGAGGTCCCTGTCTGCAGAGTCTTGACCCAGAAATCCCCTGTCAGGCGCTTCCCAAGGTGCATGTAAGGTGTTGCCATGCCCATTTGAGGCATGCATGGGGGATGCCTTGAGTTCTTCTTGCAGAGGCACACCCCAAGTCAGTCCCCTTGTTTGTAACTGTCCTGCAGCGTCAGACCCCTGGAGCCCTGGGAGTGGTGGGGGCCTAACCCTGCAAGACAGTGGGTGACATCTGTCACCCAGTGAAGTGGACTAGCTGCGCTAGGCACAGGTCTTGGCACAGGAGACCCTGCTCCAAGAGTGAAGGCTGTTTCACAGCCTATAAGGATGTCCCCAGAACGTGAGCCTCGGGTCAAACTGAGCTATAACCTCAAGCCTTGCTGAGCCTGGTATCACTTTTAGTTGTGCCTGATACTTAGACTTGATCAGTCTTCGTTTTTGTATCCTAGTTACTCATAATTACCTTCCATAAATAAAATTATATGAAAGATGATCAAGTATAGATTAGACTTTTGAAATAGGCTTTCAAGGCATCAGTGAACTTCCTAGTTTTAATCCTCCCAGTTCAAGTTCTTAAATCATTTTATAGTTGCATTAACTTTTAATACCTGAAATGTTAGTTGAGAGAAAGTTGTTTGGACTGTGCTAATTATTAGGCTCAATATATTTAGATGCTTTCCAGAAAGTAATGTCATAGTAATTCAGTATTTTTCTGATTCTTCCCTAAAGTTGCATCATTCTGTCGAAGCAGATGAGTTGGGCTGTCATCGGAATTGCGTAGTTCGACACCACTTTGGATGAACACGCTTTTTACAAAATCTGGAATCTTCCCGCCTGAACGCCTTTCTGTTGTTTAAGGGTAACTCTCAGTGAAATCTTACTCTTATATTTGGAGTTTCTGTTCTTTGCTAGCCCAAGGTGTTCTGATATTTGTAGGCTAAATTCTTAATGTTCAGTTTCAGAGTCATTTTTTGAAGCAGTCAAGCATTCAAGATGTCAGAGTGGACTTTTTTTAGGCTTAACAGACTGGATGAAATCTTTTCAGTTATTTGCCTAGGGTTGCATGTCCTGACTGTGTGTCACTTATTACCTGTTCCATTGTAACATTACCATAATGTTTTTGTAATATCCCTTTTCTAATTATTTTAATAACAAGCTCCATGCAGGGATATTTCCGTATTTATGCCCTTTTATGCAGGCGGGGATCTCTGCAGTTGCAGGAAGTGAGTCTTGTCTGGTATTAATGAAATAGCCTGATGAGACAGTATTTCTGATATTGGCAAGCTATTGCTCTAGTATAAAATCTTGGATGTGATAAAGGAATTGGTGTGATTCATTTAAATGTTTTATCTGCTGTAGTTAACTATGAAATACTTCAAATGTATGGTATTGAGTCTGAAGAAGAATTTTTTTATATTAGTTGCATTTTTATTTATTTATTGGTGGAAGCACTCTGATTCCCTGCTAGCATTTCACCATTGTTGATGGATTTTAATATGGATTGCTGTTACTCCATGCCTGATCTTTATGTACGATGTCACATTTGTGGTCACATGCAGTATTTTTCCATCTACTAAAGGTGGATAACATAAAGAAGGCACATGTAGTTTTTTTTTTTTTTTCCCAACTGCAGTTTTCAGTCAATTAAATCAGGCTGGATAAGTGACATTATATTGAATCTGATGATCTTTTAATGACGAGTTTGTTAATCCCTGGATTTTACATAGGTGGAATCAGAGGGTTTTTTGGAGGTATTTTTAGTTCAAATTTAATTATAGTTCAGGAGTTTCTAGATTTAGTAACTTCTGATCATGTGTCTGGTTCAGCTGAACTACCGTTATTACTTAATTGAAATACTGTTGTACTCTTCTTCCTGCTGAAAACCTCCACATAATTCCTAGCTGAAACACTACTTCGCCCGCACTTTAGACTTATATACACCGATTGAGTTCTCTTCTGGAAGTGGAGCTGTATCCTTAAATAATTAAGGAGTGAGGGAGTGGGGTAAATGCTAAGAAGTACTTTTCGTTTACTGCTAAGTGGTCTCAGAGACAGCTGTTCTTGCTGGTGGAAAGTGCTTATCTAGACAGAGAAGCTGCTTGTCCAGAATGAAATGCTGCACTCTGAAACGCTGCAGGATTGTTTTGTAGTCTTCTGCATGCAGAAAATTCAGTACCAGTCCTTTGTAAAGAATAACTTATGAAGGTGTCCTTTTAAAATGTAGGCAATATTTTATTACTAGACTCTTCCTTCTCCACCCCAATTTGTAGATTAAGGTGAGCCTGACAGTAGTATTGTTTACCTGATGGCATTAGTAAATAACTGAGACTAATTTGGCTCAGTAAGTGTGCATTTAGCCCCTACTTCTGCAGATAGTGAGACCAAGGCAGGTTATGAATTCTAGACTCCCAATCCTGTGCTCTGCCCTAAGGCTGTCCTTCTCATGTCATTCTTCCATTGACTTAATTTAGTGCTTTTCAGTCTAGTAAATTTATTTTAAAACAGTTCAGCAGGTAGGCTGTCTTCAGCTGTAGTTTTATGAGAATCTGAACAGTAATACCCCATGCTTCTTTCTATGTCATTTCTTTTAATGGTAATAGAGGAAGAGGAACTAGTATGAAGCATATGCCACTTTTGGTGACCAAATATGTCTCCTATTATAAAATTACTTGGCAAGTAACAACCCCCTCTTAAAGGCCCATTTCCAGTTGGATTTTAACTCCAGCAAAGAGTTTTATGCTGCCTAGGTGCTTAGTTTCTTGGAAGTAACGAAGACCAGAAATGAAATGGCATATTCCTGTTTAGACTATCTTAGACCTATGTACCTACAATGTATAGTATTTTACATAGATTGTCTAGAATTAAAAATGAAGTACACTTCTAAATTTTCCTCTGTCCTTAAATCTAGTGTCTGTTTTCCTCCTTTTCTTACCTCATGAAAGGCCCCAGTCTTGTGGTTGATAGAAGCCTTAGTTCAACTGTAAAATCCTCAGAGACCTTCAGTACCCAGACACCAGTTTAAATGCACCTTGCTGTGTTATATGAGTTATTTTTGGGTGGTCAGTGTTAATCCATTGCTGCAGTCAAAGCTTATATCATGTCCCTTGCATGCCCTGCTCCACTACCAACATTAGAGTGTCTGATCCTTGCCCTGTCTGCCTGCCTCTTTGTGTTGTGGACATGCTCAAAGGCCCATGGTTGTAATCAGGTCTCGTGTATGCCAAGTGCTGTGCAAAAGCTGAGACAGATGTATTCTTTGCCCTGAGAAGCTTTATATTTTAAGATGAAATATTAGTATATTGGCAAGTATTTTAAAGGTGGTTGAGGTATCAAGGCCATGAGCATATATGAACAAGTTATCTGAAGTAAAGGTAGGCAGGGTTTTAGTGTGTGAGTTGCATTTACTCTGTGGTAAGTGAAAGCTGACCTGCAGTAGCTTAATTAGCCCACTTTCATTTAGTTTTCAGGTACCAGGTTAAGAGCATGCACAATTATTGCTGCGCAACTGGCCTGCTGTAAAGCCCCACCCTCCTTTACCGTGTGATAACTCATGTGTCTGTGCCCTCAGATATTACAGTGATAGGGACTAAATGACATTTACCTAGGAGAAATGGATGTGTAAGTGATGGATGTTAAGTAGGAATTTCAGGAGATGGCACTCACAGTAAGCTTTGTGCGGTTGCATGGTCTCTAGCTCTTGTGCACAGCTTCATGGTTCTGAATTAAAACTATTATTTCTTATAAATGTCACCTAAAATAGACTTCCTTCTAGACAGCTGGTGTTAATTAGCTGATATATTGTAGGCATCTGTCTCTGATCTTTCGTGCTGCTCCTTATGCTTAGAACACTACCCCTTCACAGCCTGTCAAAACCCTAGTCCTTGCCCTCGCTTAATTCAAATTAGTGCTAAAATCTCTCTTCTCCTAATGTATTACCTTCCTGAATTGGGTTTTACAGAAACCAACAAGATAAGCAGTCTTGAGCGGAATAATTACGGAAAACCTCAATTGCCTGCCCTTCTTTTTCCCTTCCACTTGCAGAGGGGTGGGGTGGTTGGCACTACTGTGCCACTGAACTTGTAAATTTGGGGCAGTGAGATTTTGGTTTTTGATCTTTTCTCTTGAGAGCCAGGGCAGTCATGGATGCTTTAAAATCTGAAATGTTGGAAGTGCATCTAGAGCTACATTTTATACAAGTCAAAAAAGAGATTTTCATAACTCTAGTTACTCTATTACTAAAACTTTAAAATAGACCCACATCTGCCAGTTCTGTTATAGGTAATCGCAGGTCCCTTCATAATGGAGTAAACTAGACTTGAATAGGGGTACATTTCTGATAAGCAAGATAGTCTTCAGACCACAGAATATGATGCTTTATTTATGCAGAAGGGAAATCCCCTGGGCTTGACCAATGTCAAATTCATATGTTTAGAAACTCTAAGGCTAAAGCGGGCCATTGTGGCTGAATAGTCCAGGGGTCAGCAGTGTTTTGCAGTGGGCTGTCGCTTTTAACGTAGCTTAGCTCTAAGCACAAGCTGCTTCCAGCCCGACTTGCACCACCAGAGCTGAAGCTGCACTTGCTGCTTTCTCCCACAATGCTGCCTCTGCCAAAATGAGGTTGAAACCCCCCAGCTCCACAGCTGGATAAAATGGCTCCATAATCGAGATCTGGTCCAAAGGATGTAGGTTGCTGACCCCTGATATAGTACGATCTCCCACATAACACAGACAAATGGTTCCTTGATGATCACATCCATCAACATGTGATGGTAGTAAATGAATACCATTTTTACCCCATTAGCCTTAGTTCTAGCTGCTGTTCAAGAAAAGCAGAAATGTGTACATAACATTGAATATGTAGTCATAGCTCTTGTGAATTCCCTTTGAAAGCTCGCTCTCTTGAAATTTAAGTTTGCAGGTAGTTCTCTGTTTAACACTTTTGCATCCTTGTATTGAGATCTTGTGTGAAAGAGAGAGGACATTCTCAAGTGATGTGTCCAAACAAAAATAATTGGGAGTTTTCATTTCTGGCTTTCTTTGTGATTCTTTCCAGCTGCACTTCCTCACCATGTGTCAGCAGCAGCTGCACTGCAGCATCAATCCCTGTGACAGATGGAGCTGGTGTCTCCCTGTGAAATGGTAGCATGAGCTTTCTATTGTTTACAACTGGCTTCACAATGTTAATATTTTTGGTGGCCTGGAGCGTTGCTTCTGAAAAGCTGCCAGCTCTAACCAGGCCTACTGCTTAGCGGTCTCTACTGATGTGCCAGTTGGTGGCATGCTTCCCCTCTGCTGTCGCTTGCTTCAGACTCGGCCAGTACAGTTGTTTGCTCCAGACCCACGAGGGCAATATCCCCATAAAGCAGCGTCCGTGGGGCTTGAAGGAAGTGGGAGAGTGATGAGAGAACACCTGCTTCAAATGAGGTCTGGAGGTGCCAGTCCCTCTCTGCTTGCTTGCAATGAGTGGGAAGTGTTTGGCCCTCTTAGCAGTGAAAAGCATATCCAGTTGTTTGTTTTGTTTTATTAACATGGAAGAAGTTAATTAAGCTTTCATCATTTTCAAAGTAGGATCCAGCATGACTGTTTGTTGGTTTGCACTGTGTTATCTTGGATGAATAGGTTAGACAGTGGCACCCAAAATACTTAAATATGAAGAGCTTTAATTACGCTGGCTCTGGCATAGCAAAAAGCCTCATAATTGTTCTCTAAAGCAGCGGTCACCAAAGTGGGGTGTGTGCAAGACGATCCATTGGGATGTGGGAAGAAAATATTAGAACTTCTATTTAGATGTATATTTATATAAATATACATATATTGGGGGGGTGTGCTCAAATTTTTTACTGATGGGGGTGTGTGATC